TGGGCACACCCTGGCCTCTTTCCATGAGACGTCCTAGGCCTCGAGGACATTGTGTACCACAACCCACTGACATTGCTGTCTCCACAGGCTCAGGTGAGGAGCTCCCCTAGAGTACCAGTGCACCCCAGGGCCCGGGAGGCTGGGGGCCTGGGCGAGGCTGAACCAGGGCTGAGGGTGGGTGCCCTGAGTCTTGTCTGACGTATTCTAGCCTGGCCCAGGTCTCACTTGCACTAGAAGTGCCTCCCTACCAATGGCACCTTATTACAAGTGGCTAGGTACCAAAAGGCAAAATCACACCTTGTCCTACCACAGCCACTGACCATTCCAGTGCTAGCCTCTCAGTCCTAACAAAAGGGCCTGTCCTGGAGGGGTGTGCTCACCATGCTTCTGAAGCCCCATCCTCCAAGAGCAGACACCTGTGCACCACAGCTGCCTTGGTGCCAGGCAGACTGAGTCCCGTCTAAGACTATGTTTCAATCGAAAATTGTCGACTAGCTGCCTTCCCAGGGTGTGTGACCAAGGAGGGAGGGCGGGCACAGCACAGAGAACCACCTGGAAAGCACAGAAGCTGCCACTTTGTAACCCCTTTCTAAGCACCAGGCTCCACAGATGACAGGAACTTTGTAGAGTGTGCCCAGTGGGAATGGAAAGAAGGGAGGGAGAGGAACCCTGGGACAAGACCAGAAGCTCAGCATGGCAGCCTCCTGATCCTTCCAAGCAGGCTGGCTGTGCTGCCCACACTTCTCTGGCTTGAGTAGTTAAGAGGCAACCAGTCCAGCTAGTGATCTTCCTCACTGCCCAGTCCTAAAGCCAGTGCACACCATGCAGTCCTAAAGTCCCAACTGAGGTATCTTAGGCAGAGAAAGCTGAGTGCTCCCTGGGGTCCCACTAGCTGTGCTGGCCTGGGCAGGCAGCATTTGCCCCCACATCTCCACTCCTATTGACATGTTTGAAAAAGGAGCCATAAAAGTCCATGAGATCATGGCTGATTGTTAGGCTATTCTCACCCTAGGGGTGGGCAACATAGACCAAATTAGATCCAGGCTCTATCTGAAAGGAAAGACCCCTAGAGGTCTGCGCGCTCAGCACCAACTCAACCGCCCACCGGGTGCTGATGGGTAGGTGGTTCTGTTCTGGGTGGGGACCACCCTGTTCCTTGCTCAGTCCCGAATACCAGGTCTAAGCAGCAGCTCTGCTTCTCCTCCACCAGGCCCAAGGTCACCTTCTCTGCCCCCACCATGAGCCCACCGATGATTCCCTGGCACTCTACGATGATGCCTTACCAATCCTTCTGCTTCAATCACAAACCCACCCTGGCATAATCCCAAGACACTATGAGGGAGCTGAAGCTGTCCTGGAGACTTCAGACTGCCTGGCGCACACCCCCTGTCACTCTGAAGACACAGTCCATTGCCTTCTAAGATGGCCTGAGAAGAAAACCTGGCAAAGGCGGGGCACCATCACCCTCCAACTCTCAGGGCCTTCCCTCTCCTCAGAGTGTCTTACTGCTCTGCTCCTGCCCCCTCTGAGGGCCCAGAGTCATGTCTGCCCAGGGCACCCCCAGGCCAGGCACTCACAACTCTACTGCCTCAGAGCAGAAGAAAGTACAGATGCCAAAGCAGAGTTCTGGATTCAGCAGGGAAGGTGGCAGCCTCAAGCCCCACAAGCCTTGCTTTCTGGGTGCTCAATGCCGCGGTCAGTCAGTCTTAGCAGAAGACCCTATAATTATAAGCTGACCCTATAATTTCATTATAAGAACAGCCCTGTTCCCAAGGCCTCCTGGTGAAAGAAAGCTAAGCAGCTCACAATTCAGGGGTATATGATTCCTCATCAGGATGGTGGATATGATGGACTGCTCGGAGCCTCAACTAGCTCTGGCAATAGAGACCCCAGTTCTCCATATCAGCCCTCGGGTGGCCAGGTCTGGGGGGCTCTGCCTGTGTGCCAACTTGTCTTGTTACTCATGAGGAGCAACCCATGTACACGGCGGGAGATACCCCTGCCACCACCCAAAAGGGAGGGCTCGGTGCTTACCACCTGGCAGGAACTGGCCAGGTGGAGGGAGTAAGTCCAGTACAAGTGAAGGCTGTGGGGGCATTGTGCCCTGTTATCCCAGCATAGCACCCACAAGGTCTCTTGCCACTGTCACAAGTATCTCACAGCCGAGCGGAGCCACTGGCCCCAGACAGAGGTGCTCCCTGCCTCTGCGGTCCCTTCACCAGCATCCCGTGCTCCCTCCACAGGGCAGCATACAGTTCCATTGTGTCATTCTGTGACCCACAGAAGCTGATCCTGCAGCTCTTAAAAATAGGCTGAAGATGGGTTTTTCTCCCAGGATCTGCAACATGTAACTACCAGACACGAAATGGCAAAACCGAAGGAAAATCGTTGGCTTAATTCCGCCCCGGTCAGCAAGCCCCGTCGCCGTCTGACCACACCTGGCCTAGGGCTTCCAGGCGGTTCCCGGTTTCCTCCAAGGAGCGGGGACCCAGTTCCTGCCCCAGGTGGCGGACGCGCTTCCTGTGCCTCGCACGCCCAGCGCTCAAGGACGCGGCCCCCGGGAGG